TAAGGTATTTCCATTACTAACTTTTTGAGAAAGAGCCATACTGTTGTCCATAGTAGTTGTATCATTTTACAAACCCATCAACAGTATAGGGAGCTCTGGTAGCATAGTGCCTAAAGGCTGGTGGTTCAAACCTACCAGCCACTCCTCGGAAGGAAGATGGTGCAATCTACTTCCATAATAATACTGTCTCAGAAACCTAAGGAGGGGTCGCTATGAGTCAGGTTTGACTTGATGGCACATAACAACAACAACAACATCAACAGTATATAAGATTTCCAATCTCCCCACAGCCCTGCCAACATTTGCCGTTTTCTGTTGTATTTTTTTAAAAATCATTATCATTTTTACAAGGTTAAGATGGTATCTCATTGTAGTTTTGATTGGCATCTCCCTAATGGCTAATGATCATGAGCATTTTTTCATGTAATTGTTGGCCATCAGGAATGTCTTCTTTGGTGAAGTGTCAGCTCATGCCTTTAGGTAATTTTTTGATTGGGTTGTTTGTCTTCCTGTTGTTGAGGTGTTGACATTTTCTATGTATTTCAGAGATTAGACCCTTGTCAGATAGGCCATGGCCAAAGACTTTTTTTTTCTGGTCTGTAGGTTCCCCTTTTACTCTTCTGGTAAAGTCTTTTGATGAGCACAAGTATTTAATTTTTCTGTTGTTCATGCATTATTTAGTTGTATTTAATAGGCTATTTATGCCTAAAATCAGGTCCCCTAGTTTGGTTCCTATTGTCTTCCAGCAATATCATAGTTTTAGCTGTATTGTTTGCGATCTCTTTGACAACACATACCAAATATGGAAGAAAGTGCAGTTACTAGATTGTGGCGGTGATGAGTAACAGGAAATAATTTCACAGAGTTTTAAAAAAGTAGCATTAAGTAGAACATATTTATTGGTTACTTTATACACACACACACACACACACACACACATATGTATTTGTGATAAAAATATGTATAATAAGATGTGCCAATTCAACTATTTTTATATGTATAATTCAGTGGTACTGATTGTACTGATTACATTATATTGTGTAACCATTACCAATATCCTTTTCCAAATTATTATGAAAAATACTGTTAAAATGAAATTTTAGAAAAGCAATGGCCACTATTTCATTGCTATCTCTGATTGTACCTCTTTATATTTTACAGTATTCCATTTTTAAAGGATTTTTAGTCCATGATATTTTCAAAAAGAAAATACAGAGGCAAGAACTTTTTTAAAAACTATGATATACACCATCAAAAAGGAAGAAAGGCATCAGAGATGAGTGAAGCAAAGGATTAATTTCTAAATTTAAGGCAACAGGGTTAAAAAAATTGTTTTGTTACCGTGACATTATAAACCAACTAAAAGAGTATGTAAAATCATTCCCAGAGACAAACTTTTCTTCTATTCAAGCATAATCTTATTTCATTGGTGCTTGTATAGGAACACTGAAGTAATAGAATTGGCATTGGGTACAATTTATAGAAATGCTATTTTAAAAGACTTCTCATATGAATACTTTGTAAAGGTTAAGGCTTAACATTAAATTAAAACTCATGGAAAGCATTTCAAGTTGGGAAGGGATCTGAGACAACATGGGCCAAATAAATGCCACTGGACTGACTCCCTCAAATATCTGACAGCATATGCTGTCTTTAGCAGGTGCTGGGGAGTCAGTCAGTTAATGACTGAATTCTCTAACAAGTACTTGTAGAACAAAAATTCTGTTCTTAATTTAGAGTCACATCTCAGGCCCAGCCCTGAGGTTAAAGAATTAGAGTCTCTAAGGGAGTCACAGACCAGGAACCTATCTATATTTTTAATAAAGCTCTAGTGAGACAGTACCCACCAGCCACTCCTCGGAAGGAAGGTTGGGCAATCCTACTTCCGTAGTGATACTGCCTCGGAAACCCAAGGAGGGGTCGCTATGAGTCGGGGCCGACTCGACGGCACATAACAACAATAACAGTGAGACAGTAGACATGGTTGGGAAGCACTTCTTCAGGTCAAAACTTGGTTTAGAGTCCTAGGAGCTTCAATAGCACAATGCCTAAGGCATCTGACTGCTAACCAGAAGGTTGGTGGTTCAAACACAATAACCACTCCAAGAAACAAGACTGGGCAACCTACTTCCATAAAGATTTACCACCTCAGAAACCCAATGGGGGTTGCTATGAGTCGGAATCAACTCGATGGCAGTGGGTTTGGTTTTGGTTTTTAGCTCAATTTAGTTTAGTTCAGGTTCTAAAAGTGCCTGTGTGGGTGGGGCTCGCAGTACTTGTTGAAGAATGCATGAGTTCAGAAAAAGGAGATCCACAGGAAACTCTGTCCATTTGTGGTCTTCATGCTGCTTCTTCCAACATCTTTTGGTCATTGTTTTAACAATCATAATGGAACACATTACCTTAGGAAAACTACAGAGAAGATTCCATATCTGGAGAATGTTATCAGGAGAGATAACCTTATTCATTTCTTGCCATGGTTCTGCTTTAATTACTCAATGAAAAAGAAAAAAATGTTACAATTCTGAAGTGAAAATATAAGCTGAGTCCTTAGATAATGCAAATGACACTAATCGAAAGGTTGGAGGCTCAAGTCCACCCAGAGGCACCTTGGAAAAAAGGCCTGGTGATGTACTTCTGAAAAAGTCAGCCACTGAAAATCTACTCTGATACATATGGAGTTTTCATGAGTCAGAATCAAAACAACAGCTACTGGTTTTGGTTGGTTAGAACTATATTTTCATATAGAAAGCCAATGAGCAGATAGGTAAGAGATAAAGCAACATTTTCCTCAAAACATTTCTACCTGTGCTTAACCAACTCCAAAATCCACTGCTATATAAAGCAGAAGCTACAATTTAATTCTGAAAATTTTAATTTGGAGTTTATACCTCACTGCTTTTCCCCATCTCCCTTCTGTTTACTCACTCAGAATTCTTCTATGTCTATTGGGGATCTTTTCCTTTATTTCCAACCAAGTTTCCTTTTAAAGCTGCTCTTAAATTTAATTTTTATCAGATATCAACTGAATACAAGTACTATCACAATTTGGGTGAGTAAGGAAACAGAAAGGGCTATGACATACATGAAGAAGAATATGGCATCAGGACTAGAGAAAAACTCATTAACAGCCTGTGATATGCAGATGACACAACCTTCCTTGCTGACAGTGAAGATGACACAAAGCACTTACTGATAAAGATCAAAGAGTATGGATTACACTTCAAAATAAAGAAAACAAAAATCCTCATAACTGGACCAATGAGCAACATCACAATAAATGGGGAAAAGTCTGAAGTTGCCAAAGATTTCATTTTACCTGGATCTACTCATGGAAAGAGATCTTACAACCTACTGCACTAGGCAAACCTGCTGCAAAAGACCTCTCCAAAGGGTTAAGGAGCAAAGATGTCACTTTGAAGACTAAGGTGTGTCTGACCCAAGGCATGGCATTTTCAATCACCTCATGTGCATGTCAAAGCTGGACAATGAATACGGAAGACTGAGCTGATGCCTTTGAATTGTGGTGATGCAGAAGAATATGGAAAATACCATGGACTGCCAGAAGAACCAACAAATCCGTCTTGGAAGAAGTATAGCCAGAATGCTCCTTAGAAGTGAGAATGACCAGACCTCATCTCACATGCTTGGTCATGTTGTCAGAAGGAACCAGGCCCTGGAAAAGGATATCATGCTTGGTAAAGTAGAGTGCTAGCGAAAAAGGAGAACTTCAACAAGATGGATTGACAGAGTGGCAGCAATGATGGGCTCAAGCACAGCAAGGATTATGAGGATGGCCCAGGGCTGGGCAGTGTTTTGTTCTGTTGTCCAGAGGAATGCTACGAGTTGGAGCTGACTTAACGCACTTACCAACAACATACCATACACACTGTGATTTATTCCACAGCCTGCACTTTTATAAGATTGGCAAAAAAAAAAAAAAAAAAAAAAGCCACTTCTGCTTCAGCCTACGTATTATGAATCAAAATTTGACTTAACAGTGACATGGATTCTTCTACCTTTTTAATTTACCCAGGTAGGAGTGTTTCCAGACCTCTGTTGTTAGCCACAGACCAGTTGACCTTGACCCATGGCAACCCTATACAAAATGAAATCAAACCACTGTGATCCACAGGGTTTTCACCAGCTGATTTTTCAGAAGTAGACCACCAGGCCTTTCTTCCTGGTCTTAGAGCACCACTGAAGCCTATTTAGCATCACAGCAGCATGCAAGCACATTGAGAGACGGTGGTCGTTGTCCTTGAGGTGCATTGGCGAAAACCTGGTTCTCCCCGTGGAAGGCAAGAATTCTACTGATGAACCACTACTGCCCCTCTGGACCTCTACATGGGTAAAAGTCACACTTTGTATTATTAATTCTTCAGAATTGACAAATCCCTTTCAAATACACTGTCTTGATCATTATAACAACCCCATGAAAGAGTATAACCCCCACGAAGCACAAGGAGAAACTGAGGTACAGAGCAGTCCAGCTATTTGCCTGGTGTCACCCAGCTTGTGAGTGACAGGGCCAGGCCTCAGGGCTCTCGCCTCAAAGGAATGGGCTTCAAATCCACCACAGCCATCAGTCCCTGACATATGCTGGAAAGAATGTTAAAGGCGAAGAAATAGTTTCCTAGAATAAAGTTACAGCAGTCTGCATGTCCTTCTGTAGCTGATAACTGGGGCATCAATTTCCTTTGAAAGTCAGGGCCCTAGATAATCAGCTTCTCTATGGAAGGTACAAAAGACTTAGCATTATAATTTATGATGCTGATCCTAATCTACAATTAGATTCCCAGGACCCGGAGTTTGAGATACAAAGAAGTGTTGGCATAACATTTTTGTCAATATAGAAAATTGCTCATATGTCCATATCTTTAGAATATCTATTTCTTATAAAGTAGAATGCAATAGGCCATCTCCCATCTATAATAAGTTTGATAAGATCATTATATTTTAAAATCCATATTTAAGGCAACAAGATAAAGTCTGCTTACCCCTCCTTCATGTCATTAATGGGAAGCGGAACTCTGCCTCCCCTGTCTAGAGCCGACGTGATGTTTATGGCGTTGAGACGTTCCGGCTGCCACACATTTTTCACTGCCCCAAGGAAGTCTCCAAGAACCTCACTGGCCAACATTTCTTCTACATTCATATTTTTAATGAAGAATTCAGCTTGATATGGTAACGGAAAATCTAATTTTGGTGAAAAATGATATGCATATCTTGATGAAGTAGTTTTATTAAAAGAGAAGCAAAAGGACAATTTGAGATTTGTTGAGTTCTGTCACAATCCTGGCAATGAGGAATGCTAGTAATGCTGCCTTTATAGGTTTTCTCTATGACGGAGAGATCTAAAAACATTATATACATTAGACACAGAACTTCCTCTACAATATAATCAAATCGCAATTATAGCAGTTCAAGTTACAATTACAGAATCTAGCTAGAAAATGAAAAAGGGAAAAAGCGAAATCTACCTCAAACTCAAATTCACGCTTTGCATTAACCTGCTAGTTTCCCACCTGCCTCCTCATTCTTTTCAATTTACTCAGCTGGAAGGAGGATTTCAAGAACTCCAAGTGGTAGAAATGATACTTTTTATCTGTCATGCTTTAGAACTGACAAATCTTTTTCAAGCATATTATCTCATTTAATTATTACCACAACCCTGGTGGTGTTATCTCCATTTGAACAGAGGAGGAAGTTGAGAAATACCCTTTCCAAAGAGAGAAGACATTATGAAGTATCTGTACTTGCTTTTGGGTTGTTTACATATGATTTGAAATATCATATTTTTAATTTGAAAATTACTGATCTTTTTGGAGCATAAGAAAATACTACTTTTTTCTAAAATAAACAGTGATCATATTTTCAGTAACAACTCTATAAACTCATGGCAATTCCACTACTTTGATGACCATATAAGTAAATATTTTAGAAAGAAAATATTTTAAAATTCTTGCAAAATTCAACTATCACATTGTTAAAATTTTAGTTTTCCCTCCCCAACATCTATCTCACCAAAATTTCCCTCTAAGCATTTCAACCCAATATAAAATTCAGATTCTCAAAATAAGAAACTCTTATGTTTCTTAAATCTTAAAATACTTCAGATTCTCAAATGTTACTCCTGAATTGGGAATCATTTCTTATATTCTAATGGTCCTATGAAGATAAAGATGGCCTTCTTTTTATCTTACAATATTTCTGTAATATTTTAATATATTTAACATTGAAAAATATTTAACATTTTAATTGTTTAATCCTCTGTTGATATTGCTTTGTATATTTACTATGAGGTTGGTTAAGGGGTTTAGGTGAATTATCGCACTGAATCCTCACAACCAGAGTATGAATAGGTACTAGTATTTCTCTCCAGACGTTCAGATGGGAAAGCTGAGCGTTAGGGAGGCCCAGAACTTATAATTTGAATTTACTTCATATGATTTTTTTTTTTACTTCAGCTAAAGGAGACTTGTGTACTTAAACTGCTAAGGAGAGTTCCCAACATATAGTGGAGGAAAAAAAAAAAAAAAAACACTGCCGTCAAATCAGCGACTCCTCCTCGGGTTTCCGAGGCAGTATCACTAAGGAAGTAGACTGCCAAGTCTTCCTTCCGAGGAGTGGCTGGTGGGTTTGAACCGCCAGCCTTCTGGTTAGCAGGCAAGTGTCTTAGCCACTATGCTACCAGAGTATGAATATGTACTAGTATTTCTCTCCAGACGTTCAGATGGGAAAGCTGAGCTTTAGGGAGGCCCAGAACTTATAATCTGAATTTACTTCATATGATTTTTTTACTTCAGCTAAAGGAGACTGTGTACTTAAAGTGCTAAGGAGAGTTCCCAACATATAGTGGGGAAAAAAAAAAAAAAAAAAAACACCACAACACTGCCGTCAAATCAGACCCGACTCACAGCGACTCCTCCTCCGGTTTCCGAGGCAGTATCACTAAGGAAGTAGACTACCAATTCTTCCTTCCGAGAAGTGGCTGGTGGGTTTGAACCGCCAGCCTTCTGGTTAGCAGTCCAACGCCTTAGGCACTACAGAGCTCCTAACATACAGTAAGAACTAGTTAAGTATTAATTATTAGCTCTTACAATAATAACATGAACAGACTGATTACTTGAATTCTTCCTTTAGAAGGAAATGTTTCTGACTGTGCACAGATTCAGAGGTGCCAATAGTAATTACATTATGTATAGTCTCTGATTTATTTCAATAAAATGAATTTATCTATAACATATTTTACTCTTATTTAATAATTGAGTAAAAAATAAAAATTACATAAGTAGTAACTAGAAGTTTGACGATCTCATTTCCCATGAAGCCTCTTTGATATTAAAGGACATTCAATGCCAAAGATGAAGTCAGGGAAGAAACTTTGGCTTCCAAGTTTGCAATACAGAGTTTTCTAGGGTACAGTTCTTTCTTGCTATAGATTAATTAGTTTTTCCAGGCCCTAATCACAGAAGAGTCTTTACTCTCTCCTACACTGTCATTTATTCTGCTTATTATTTTGTTAAATTTGTTTGATGTATAGCCCATCTGCAATCTTTGAAAATATGAAATATTTATTCTGTTTTATGAAGATAAATTTCTTGTTCCATACAGATAAATGTATTTCCTGGTTCACACCAGAAAACAGTAACTTACTCTTGCTACATTTTCCCCCATAGCTAGAAACAGTAATGCAGAAATGTGTTATGAAGATGCTTCCAAACAATAAATAAGATCATCCTTGTAAATAATATTAAATACAGTTTTTGAATCTACCAGAAGTCTATCATCTGTTCAGTGCATTTACAAACCGTTTTTTTAAAAAGCTTGACAATTTTTTTGTTATCAGTGCTCCTTTTTGGAGGTCGGTTATGTGCATTTTTTTGATCCACGTGACCTCATTTCATGGCTCCCTTAAGACAGGGGGAAAACCTCTCCTTGTCGTGCCTCTCAGAGGTTCTGGGCCTCCCAGCTGCCTGCTGTCTACCCGGCCAAGTGCTGCTCCCAGGCTGCCCAGAAATGAGTCACAACAGCTTTCTAACTTTGGGGAAATCCCATGGATGCTAAATCTGGACATCACAGAGGCCAAGAGAACAGTAGGCCAACAGATTGGTGGCAGGTCTCCGAGGCACTGAAACCCAATTTAGGGAAATCACTTTATATATTCTCCCTTAGCTCCACTGTGTGATTCTACATGACTGATGTCCCAATAGGTCTCTCCGAGGTGGAGACAGCTGGGCAGGGAGTGTGTCTGAGCACGATTATCCTGATATTTGCCTTTTGTTGTTTCTTTTCCTAAACCTTATCTGAGAGGAAATGGCACGAGAGTAAGTTGCTCTCAAAGATAATGCGTCCCATTGCCCACCTGACCTTATACAGTGTGGCTAGACCATCAAGGACAAAGGTATGCCAATTAGTTCAGTGTTTTTAAAATAGTTTCAGGGCACGGGACCCTATGTTAAAAGCAGCGGAGGAGCCCAGCTTGAAGTAAAGATGGACACATCCAAATGTACCTGGCTCTTCCTCCTTCACCAGCACATCAAAAACCCTGACTTAGACTTGAACCACCAACCTTTCAGTTAGCAGCCGAGTACTTAACCACTGTACCACCAGGGTTCCTTGATTTACATAAACAGCCCCTAAAGCTAACTTTCAACCTACAGTTGTCTAGTAGTCTTCCATTTAGTATCTGCTTGATCCTGTTGTTGTTGTTATATGCCGTTGAGTTGGACCCGACTCATAGCGACCCCTCCTTGGGTTTCCGAGGCAGTATCGCTACGGAAGTAGACTACTGCCCAATCGTCCTTCGGAGGAGTGGCTGGTGGTTTGAACCGACAGCCTTCTGGTTAGCAGGCAAGTGCCTTAGGCACTAGGCTACCAGAGCTCCTTGCTTGATCCTGGGTCTCCACAATTCAACAATGGCATCTATAAAGATATCTGAGTACTATCTCCAGGATTGAAAGCAGACTTCAGAAGCAGGAATTCACAGTGTAGACCAGGCTGTCTTTCAGTCTATAGGGACTCCAATACCTGCCAGTGGGTTTTAAGTCTCTCTGAACATGTAATGGTGAGATTAGGTGGTCCAAGCTCAATGTAATATAATAACTATTGATGAATTCCCAAGGAGGAAGAGAATTCTGCAATTATTCCACTCATGAACATTATTCCAATTCTACAGGGGCAGTTTAGACTGGATGTAAGTGTCCAATTATAATTATTAAGCCCAAAGACAAAGCTCCCTGATCCTACCAAAAGCCCCTGTGGGGGATGGGGGTAGGAGGGTAGCCAGAGAGTTCTCTGTTCATGTCCACAGAACTGGCATTTGGGATTGCTTTTTATATATGAAGGTCATTTAAAATTTGAATCAACTCATGGGCTTTCTGCATTTGGTACTGCTAAAACACTTGGAAAAAAAAATCACTTAAGGAGGTTCAAATTCTTTAAGCAATCTTTCCAAACATGTATAATATGACAAGTTTTACAAAAAATGCTTCATTTCATATAGTATAAAAGCAATTTTAGCCCAGCATTGACTGAATTACCATGAATTCCAAATTAGTAAGTTCTAATAAAATAGTCTATACTTGCTCGATTGTTATTAATTGTACCAATAAGTCTAACAAGAAGTCCTCTACCAAGGATGCTTTATACTATTTTCAGGGGAATATTCTGTATCAGTTCCTCTCCCGCCACCCTTATAAATGATATCTGTTATACAGAGAACTGTCCTTTGATTTATAAATTTTAACTATAAAGTTTGTAGTGATACGTTATTTTTCCCAGTCAAACACCAAAGTAAGGGGAAAATGTTTGGCAATGTAACACTTGGAATATTTCCTTTGTCTCTAACTTTCAAAACCCTTGGGGAAGAGCTTACAATTTGAGCATATGTCAATCTAAACTGCTGATGGACTCTAGTGAGTACTGATGCATTATTACCTATTTAGGAAGGAAATTATGGCCCAAATTACAGTTTATTTCTGTACACCAATAACTTTCTTTGTCATACAACTGAACTACCACCTATAGATGTTTTAAAACAAAATAATGAAAGTAGCTAATAATTACTAAGTGTGTATTCTGTGCTGGATCTCTGTTAAGCACATTTCAAGCCTTAACTCACGTAATCTTTACCATAGACTTGTAAGAGAAATGCTGTTATTAGCAGGATTTTACAGATGAAAAAACCCAAGGATTGGAGAAATAAGTGGCCTGATTGGCTCCTTCTCCTGGGTCCTTAACCCACTGTAGTGTATCATAATATTTTATAATGAATGTAATTTTGTCTAATTTTTTTCTGTATTTTACTATTTAATCTATCATATTAGCTATGCGGTTCTTTAAAATACTTAACTATCTAAGTTATAAAAGATCATGTAATAGGCCTTCCGTAGGTAAGGAAACAATCATCAACATATTTTTTTCCACACCTACCTTCTGCTGACATAGTATTAATGATCAAATTATGTCTTGCAGTCTCAAAAGTACGTCTATTGTAGGCTGTTATCTATTAGAAAAAGAAAATCATATTAAAGAAGGGGAATGTTATTTGAATACAAAATTCATTAGGACAAAATAAAAAAGAATTGTCATTCATTCCATTTTCATTATTTGTTTACTTACAAACTATTCCTTCTCTGGGCAATAAGAATTCATAGCTTTTAGCAATATTACAGGAAAATCAACAATTAGTCCGGTGTGTTGAACATGCTAACACAAAAGAGTAAAGACCAGAAAGGCCCTAAGTGCTGGGAACTGCAGAGGCATCATTAGTAAATGCATTAGCCATTTTGAATTACTTAGCATGACATTCTAAGATTTCAAAAGCAAAACACAAATATAAAACGCAGAATGCATTTTTGCACTTTTAAGTGGATTTCAAGGATTATACTGGAAAGTATATGTCAAAAACAAGCATATCTCTGTGTTATTTGCATTTGGTACTGAACTGTACACCAACCAGTCCAGTTCATGAATAACAAATCATACCGCACTTATGATGGGAGTAAAGTAGTGATTATCATAGTCTATGAAGCCTATGGCATATGCTCAATAACACAAATCAATCCCTTCATAGAGTCAAATATTAGTAAACATTTGCAGAGCCAATAAACTTACATCAATGTCAACTCAGAAACAGCCACTACAAATATTAACAAAGCCAAGGTCAACAACAGGATATGGTTTGTAAAATCACAGATCAACTTTAATAGGTATTAAGTCATTCCAACACATCTTTAGTACCTCAAAAAGCAAATAACTGTAAAAATCATAGAATCCCAGCACCAGACTTCAGGCAGTGGTAGCAGCTGTGGTTGACACTAAGACAAGAGAGTGGGATAAAACTGATTCAAACGAAAAAGGATTATCTTCAGCATTTAAAACCTAATATCAAGGGACCATTCCCTGGAGAAGGATATCATGCTTGGTAAAGTGAAAGGTCAGCAAAAAAAGTGAAGACCCTCAACAAGATGGACTGACACAGTGGCTACAACGATGGGCTCAAATATAGCAAGGATTGTGAGGATGGCACACGACCGGGCAGAGTTTCGTTCTGTTGTACACAGGGTCACTGTGAGTAGGAGCCTACTCAATGGCACCTAACAACAACAACAGCAAAGTTTTTATAGCACCACAAATGCGCTTTGAATGAAATATATGATACACATTGGAAATACTATTTGCAGTTAGAACAGTAAAAAAATGAGTATTTTGCAAATACTAATTCCAAATGTTAAACAATATCAAAAAGGTACATTTTCTGAAAGGCATATTATTCCAAAAGTTTTTTAAGAAAAATCTCTCCCTGCAATTTGTCAAATTTCCATCGGACTTAATCACCTTCTTGCTGCTTGCTGTTGGGAGTTATGATTAACTAGGTTCATACTGAATGCTAAAATTAAGATTAGCCAATGACAAAAAAAAAGAAAGTGGGGACAAGGTTTGCTGGTCCAATAGAGCCTGGTGTAACCACTGAGACTATGGCCCCTAGCTGCCCTTCAGGTCTGGAATTGAACCCACAACTGTGGTCCAGCCAAACAAAGTACAGGCATGTGAGTTAAACATTTACCTCAAGTAGACACACGCCCTGGAGAGAACAATCATGGGAGAAGGAAGGGCTGCTTATGCACAGGGAGATAGCTCAGAGTGCAGAAGAGTATGAAGGGATGGACACTGGGAGGAGGTAACTATGGGGAGGAAGTGGGAGGGGAGCTGCTGCATTGTAAATTTTGGTCAATGACATGAGACAAAGTATATGTGAACTGCTGTATGAAAAGTGAATTTACTCTGTAAATCTTCACCCAAATCCTAATTAAAAAAAAAAAAAAAGATTAGCCAATGAACTAAACTCAGAAGTATTATTCACAAAGAAGCAAATAAAAATAGTGTACAAAAACAATTGGGATCCTCATGACTTAAAAAGTTCCCCTGCAAAAAAACTTAATTCATATTTTCAATGGGAAAAAAGTATGAACCCTCTACTATCTGTTAAAATATCTTGAAGTCTTGGCTTAGGAAAGAACATTAGATATTTTCAAACTAATTGCAATGCTTTTTATGGCTACCCTGCCCATATATTCACAAATTTCATTATTATAAATTTCATAAATTGTAGTAAGATTTTTTTAAAATCACAGAAGGGAGTGAAGAACATTTTATATCAGGAGGAGGAATTTTATCATTTGAATTTATATTTAATGTTTAATTTTAACAGATATGGCAGAATGCAGTCCTTTCATTCAGTTCTAATGAGATATTGAAATACTGTAGTATCTTCAATCTAATTCCACTTATTATTATGATGTGAAGACCTTGAGAGCAGACACATATGTATCTGTTTTACTTTTGATCCCCTTTTGCGATATAGTAAATTACCTCATACGGCTTTTCGACCCATAAGTCTTTATAAACTCTGATGGAATTTGCTGTGAGCAACTGAGGAGCTCCTGATTGTAAAAATTATCCACCTGGGGTATTTCTGTTGTGCATAACACAAAGCAATGTTCTGGGAGGTTCTTGCTCGCTCTCTCAGGTGCTTAGAATTCTGATGTTATGATTGGTTAGTTTGGCCACTCTGCCAGGCTCAAAAGGAGGCCTCCTAGAGTCAGAAGAGGTCTCTCCTCTGACTGCTGGGTGAGGAAGAGGTGTTGCTGAAAGAGACATGCGCTGCTGGGAAAGAGACACAAGAGACACGCATTGCTGAGTGAGACACCGAGGGACACACACTGTTGGGAGAGAGACTCTGAGAGACTGTTAGAAGAGAACTGAGCGTTCTTCCTGAACTTGAGTTGTAGCCTGGTGCTTCCCTAATAAACCCTGTAATCTGTGAGTTGTGTGTGGCCACTGCAGTGAATTATCGAACCCAGGAGAGAGGTGGTGGGTGCTTTGGGAGGAACGGTTGGTGAAAGGGCTGGAGGGAGGCAGCATGTCTGGCCTTGAAGTAATAGGCCTTGGGCTAATGATGGTGATTCTGTCCTTCTCTTGTGCTGTTACAGGAGGTCAGGAGATGTGGTCTCATTCCCTTTTTGCACCTTTCTAGAACTTGACTGATCTGTTTTAGATGCTCAGTAAGTGTTTACTGAATGAATGACAGTGGATTTATAAGTGATCAAATATTAATTTAAGCTATGAAAAACTCAAAAAAAATATGCAAAATTCTTTTAATAACATTAATATTTCAAAATACAGAAAGTATGTTACTGCTGTTGTTAGGTGCTATCAAATTGATTCCCACTCATGGTAACCCCATGTCACAGAGTATATCTGTCCATAAGGTTTTCTTGGCCGTAGTCTTTACTGAAGCAGACTGCTATGTCTTTCTCCCACAGAGCTGCTGGGTGGATTCCAAACGTCCACTGTTTGATTAGCAGCTGAGCACTTAACTGTTGTGCCACCAGGCCCCTCAAATATGTTAGTATATACAAATACAAAACACAACTTATTTACAGATAAGTAACATAGTCTTGGTTATATGAAAGACCTCTTAAATTTATCATTATCTTCTAATTTTCACCATTATTTCCTTACTATATTATTTGTTAATAATTAAGGTATGAGAATATAATGAACACCTGTGAACTCCAAGTCAATATGCATGTTTATCCTTTTCCCCTTTCTCTCGCCAACCAGAAGTCACCATGTTTTATTACAAACATATGTACGCTATAAAATTGTTTAGTTTTCTTTTTTCTGTTCTTTATAAAAATTGTATCATACTATATGTAGTCTTCTAGGATTTGGTTTTTTATTCAACATTGTATTTCCAACATCCATCTACGTTGCTGGGCAAGCTTAAGTTCACTGTTGCTATAAATGTTAACTGTGTGAATACATCACAGTTTATCTGTTCTCTTGCTGATGAACTTTGGAGTCTCCATTGTTTTATGTGACTTTAGTGTTTTGGGTTTTTTCTGGGGGGAGGGGGCTGGGAGTTTCTAGTGTTTTGTCATACTATGAGGTGACTGCTGGATCATGGGGTACAATGATACTCAACTATCTGAGATATTTCAATACTGTCTTCCAAAGTGGTTGGGCCAATTCCCACACCCACATGCGATGTATTTTACTAAGGATAAAATTCTCATTGTAGTCTTCATTTGAATTTTCCTCATTACTGGTAAGATTCAGCTTTTTACTTAAGTTTATTAGCATTTATGTCTCCCCTTCTCATACTTTGGATACCAATCCTTACAGCTATCTGGTATCTTATCTCTGTTTGTGGCTTATCTTTGTTTTTTTTATGGTGTCTTCTGATGAACAGAAGTTCTCAAATTAAAATCATAAAATTTACCTATATTTTCTCAAATAGAAAGGTCTTAGTGAAGAGATCCTACCCTATCCAAAGGTCTGAAAGATATTCTTCTATATTTTCATATAATAGTTCATAAATTTTCTTTTCATACTGAAGTCTTTAACCTATATAACTGAGTATTGTGTTCGGTGTGATAAATCTAGTCTTACTGGAAGTTTTTCCACATGAATAGGCAATTGTCTGAGCATCATTCAATAAATATACTTTTCCCTAATGACTGCAGTGGTTAAGGCATTTGGCTGCTAACCAAAAGGTCGGTGGTTCAAACCCATCAGCTGCTCTGTGGAAGAAAGATGAGGCAGTATGCTTTTGCAAAGATTTATAGCCTTGGAAACCCTATGCAGGCCGCTATGAGTCAGAATCGACTTGATGTCAATGAGTTTAGTTTTTAGTAAAATGATCTGTTGCACCATCTATACATACTATATCATAGTTTCTATGTGGATGGATTTGTTTCTGCACTCTCTATTCTATTAATCGGTCAGTTTGTCTATTCCTGTATCCATACAACTGTATGATAACTACTTTAGGTTTATAATAAGTCTTGACATCCAGCGGACAAGAAATCTCTTTTTTCCTTCTTTAAGACTGTCTTGATTATTCTTGGCCCGTTTTCTTCCTTATAAATTGTAGAATCAGCTTGCCAAGTTCCATGAAAAGCTATATGGTAACTGATCAATTAGGGTGAAAGTGATACATGCCTTCATGCTACTGAATGTTCTCAGAATAGAGTATCTTTTCATTTCCATAGGTATTTTTTGGTATCAATAAAGTGTTATCATTTTCTTTACACAGACCTTACATACATTCTGGGAGACTCTATGCCTAGGTACCTTATGATTTGTGTTGCTATTAGAAATGCTATCTTTTTAAAACATATATTTTATCAATACTTGTTATTCATGTACAGAAATGTAATGGAATTTTTTATACTGACCCTATAGCTGTATGCTTGCCTTCTTAGGACTTTAAATAATTAGTCTATAGATTCTTTTTATCATTGACTGTTCAATTTCTTTCTTTTAAATCCTTATACATTTAATCTCTTTTCCTTTTTTTACTATACTGGCTAAGACTTCTAATACAGTCTGTAACAGATGTGGTGGAGGGAGTCATTCCCCACTGCCAATTTAAATGGAATTCTTCCAATTTTCCATAAGAACATTTGTTATCATTTTTGGTAAATAACATTTATCAGGTTAAGGAAGTTCACTTCTATTACTAGTTTGCCGAGAGTTTTTTATTATCAAGAATGGGTGTAGCATTTTACTACATCTATCAAGATGGTTATGCTGTTTTTCCCTTTAATATGCTAGTTACATTTAGTTACTTAATTTATATTTTTTAAATAATTTTTAACTGAATATTTTAAAAAATGATGTTAGCAGTAACTCAAAATCATTTTCTTTCTTAAGCTACATACCTACATTGCCTTTGGAAAAATAGATTTCTACATAGAAATCATTGTAGGCCAGTTTAATACAAACGTCAATTCAAATGAAGAAAAGCCTTCTACTCTTGGCCAACACATAATTAAACAAGCTTTAACTGATTAAAACTTTAGAGGAAAACTCAAGGCATGAATACTCTAAGAGTTTGCATCAGGTAGAAAGCACTCCATCCAACACTTATAAAACCATCTGGCAACACGACCGTCAGTGTGCTTGCTGCCACCTAGTTACCAGTAAATATCTGTGGAATTGAACAGGTAAATTAGAATCCAAGATCCTGAGACAGCAGGGACTAAAACATATATATTTAGTACTCTCCTGTCATTAACTACCATTGTAATTTTGATTTTGTTGGAAGTAGTACACAGTGAAACATTCTTAGCTTATATATGCATTTTTTTAAAAAAAAAAGTATTAACTCCCATTAAAGGTTTAAGGTGATTACTATTTTTTTTAATTTATAATATCTTGAGGATATGATGCTAGGTATTAGCAAAAAAGTGATGAATTATAATACCACCATCACATCCAGAATAAAAGCTACATATACATAAGCATAGCGCCTAAGGCATTTGACTGCTAACCAGAAGGCTGGTGGTTCCAACCCACCAACCACTCCTCAGAAGGAAGACTGGGCAATCTACTTGAGTAGAGATACCGCCTGGGAAACCCAAGGAGGGGTCGCTATGAGTCATACCCGACTGAGGGCAATGAGTTTGGTTTGTTTTTTTCACACATAAGCATGGCTTATGGAGTCCTCAAAGATCACTCCCTACCAACACCAAGACCTCAGGTTCTCACCCTCTGCCCACTGGGGGGCATCCTGCCCTCTAGTCATACCTGTAGTTCTCTTAAGCACCCTATGGTTTCTTCATAACTCCCTGACTTTGATGTGCTGTTTCCTCTGTCAAAGACAGCCTTCCTTCTATTTTGTGAAATATTTAAACTCTTATAACTTTGCATAAAGCAGTACCATTGTAATAACAATGTTCACTAAGTACATGTTTCCATCCCAGTACTCCAACAGTGGGACTGTAATGACACGGAAGACTCATCATGCTATCACCTGCACCTAACACAATGCTTGGCACAATGGTAGGACTCTATAAGGTGTCTGATGAATAACTGTATTTCAATGAACATGAAATTCAAATTAAAATATGGAGCAAACAAGGTTTGAGTTTGCATTTATTTTCTTGAATTCATATTACAGTGATTCTTCTACTTCTTCAAAATGTCTTTGAATGTTTTATCACTAATTGAGAATCCATTTTATTTTATATATAAAGTGAAAGAAACAAAAGACTTTGGATATAGATAGAAAGGAATGGTAAATTTCTAAATATTTTCTAATATATTCCTGAGTACAATATACTAAAAAACATTATCATGTACATTTAATTTTAATACTCAAAACTCAAATTACAAAAAAAAAAAAAAAAACCCAAAAATATAATTTGGCTTTTTCTTCTTTCTATGTAATTACCTCAATGACTGTTGGCTTCCCCACGCTTTCAGCTGTTGGAGATCCGTATAGCACTCCATCACTATAAGGAGTCCTTTGGATATATCGAAGCCATCCAGGTCGGTCTGGATAACCCATTAAATTTGTGTTAAATGTTATGGGATCATTACTAATCTCGCCTAGATAAGAAACACAGAATTAAGAAGACATAAGAGTTATTTCATGCATTTGTCTTTGATAGTTTCAATCAAAACATTTCAGTCTAAAATTTTATGTATTTTTTTTCTTATATTTGTAGGAAACTAAACAGAAAATAATCCATCCGGGAATTTACATAATGGCCTCATGTAAAGAAAAAAATCCATTGTTTAGTTTGTCTAGAAATCTGACGCAACAAAGCAAGAAGATTCACACAATATTCGAGGATTTTTTTTTTTCTTGGTTACTTAGTGGGACAATTCTGCCAGTGAGACAACTATCTTTCGGGAAAATCACCTAATCTTTTTGATGTATTCATATTCTTGAGAAGCCTAGATATGATCAAATTAATCTTAAAGAATATCTTAATGTTATGAAAGTATTATCAAAACAAAAATAATGTAATCTTCCAGATGGGATAAAAAAGATGTCACAACTCCAAAACAACTGTAGTAATGACAGCATTTATCAGTAACACACAATCATAAAAGCATCATTTATTAGCATGTACCTGGCCCTGTGCATGTTTTATAGGCACTATTTCATCTGATTTTCACAATGTACCTATGAAGATGGTACTATTATTAGCCGTTATGATGGCATACATAACTTGGAAAAATTAAGTAAATTTTTTCCATGGTCATATTAAATGGTGAAACCAGAATTTAGTCCAGAGGTTACTCTTGAAACAAGGCTCTTAATTACTTGGTTCCTTCTCAAAGGTTAAGAGTTGCTGCTCAGGAGTTTCACCACTACAGTTTTTGGAAACATGGAATGCCTCAGAAGAAAACACTTGTTAATAATTGATGAAAAGACCACTTTTTTCTTGAAGGCAATTGAGAACATGGTTAACTACATTTTGAGTGTGTTTTTTTTTTAATGTATGCTATTCATCATATGGGAGCTCACGTGGCGTAGTACCTAACACATCTGACTGCTAACCAGAAGGCTGGTGGTTCAAACCCACCAGCCACTCCTCAGAAGAAAGGTTGGGCAATCTACTTCCATAGCGATACCACCTCGGAAACCCAAGGAGGGGTCGCTATGAGTCAGATCCAACTTGACTGCAGTGGGTTTATTCATCAAATAATCCACAAAAAGAATATTTATATTAGTTCTGTTGCTATAAAATGTTCTCCTACAAATTATAATTTTGAGAAAATTTATTTTTATGTTACTTATTAACTTAATGTTTTCTCTTGCTATCCTTTATCTATAATAATTTGGTAACATGTGTTCAAAGGAACCCTGGCAATACAGTGATGAAGTGCTCAGCTGCTAGCCAGAAGGCAGGTGGTTCAAAGCCACCAGCCACTTCATGGGAAAAAGATATGGCAGTCTGCTCCCATAAAGATTTATAGCCTTGGAAAACCTATGGGGTAGTTCTACTCTGTCCTACAGGGTTGATATGAGTTGGAATTGACTTATTGGCAATGAGGTTTTTAAGTGACAATTCAGCATAACATATAATTCACCAGTAGTGAATTAAATAAGACCATAATTCATATTACTTTAGAAGAAAAAGTTAATCTCCATTATATTATTATGAAGTTATATAAAATTATCTCATGTTTTAAAAGCTTGTTTGAGAACTCTTTCTTAATTATTTCATTCTCTTCTACAACATATGTATACGTTTCCAAAAATCAATGTACTATGTAAGAATCTGAGTCTTAATATGGAAAACCATAACTGTATAGCTCTAATTACTACTAGGTGAATACAGGTAGATCTTTTGCCAGCTACATAAAACTCAAGACTGAGAATCCAGAAATATGCTCTCTTTAAAATTCAGAAATGAATCATATCCTTCTGTAATTAAACTCCTAATCACATAAGGAGAAATATCCTGCAATAATCAATTTATCACTTGTCTAGACCATTTCAAATGACGTGAATGGTATTTGATCACACACCATCCAGAGTATGCACACTGAACAAAAAGAAAAACATAGTAAATTAACCACTTCTCTGCTCCCCCCACACAAAGAACATACCAGGTTTTGGGTAAGGTGGAAATTCCCCCTTAAAATACTCTCTTTCCAAAACATGAACAAAGAGAACTCCAGCAGATGGGTATACGTTCCGATCAGAGTGTACCTTGGAGAAAATAGTGTATACTGAAAGCAAAGAGGAAAGGTGGAGATAGAAAGACAAATAATGAGATATGCCCTTGATAATGCAGCTTACACTGTAATAAATGGTTTCTTCATGTAGAAATTTCTGGGAAAACCCAAGTAACATGCAAGGTAACTGTTAATAACAGTTTATTTTAAAAGGAAGTCATTTTAGAACAAAACTTTTTCAACATGGTGTGTGTCAAGCCTTTTCAAATATTACGTAGACAAAATTAGGTACATTTAATATTGTTATTAAACAATGAAGACATACACATCACCTTTTTGGTAATTTCTTTCTACTTGAAATTATTGCCAAAAAAGAAAAAAAAATCCATGAGACTTGACCAACTATTTAATTGCAGCATTTTTTTTTCTTTTTCCTTTGCTTTTTAAAACAAAAGTAGTATTAGAGTAATTTTTTAAGTGTTAAGACTACATTTGTTAGCTGGATAAAGCACAACAGACTACATAATACCATCAAAATATGTAAGGTGACTTTCACATATACTTGTAAAAACACACTGGATACTTCTACTATGAGTATTCATTCATTCCTCCTATCTCACCAAGAAATGATTTATTCCATTTTCCCTGGTCTTGATATTTAATAAGTCAAACAACATAATCTATTATATATGGTATATCCTAATTACGCAATAACAATTACATGATAAAATTTAGTACAAATTTGATTTCTAAACGTGAAATGGGGGCAGATTTCATGATTTACTGATTATCTAAGACATATGAAGTGGGTAGATTAAAATAGCCAAATTGGTTTGATTAGTTTCTACCTATTGTTTTTCCTGTTATAACATCATCTCCACCAACACATTACTGCCACTACTCTTGTCACCTCTATAATCTCTTTTGGGTTTCTATCTTCCAGATTGTCTAATGGCTGCAATTTTTAGACAAATAAACCTTATCAAGCCAGTTCTTCCTTAGTCACTGATGGATTTGTAAATGCAGTAATTAACCTTAGAACCCCAAGGCTGCTCACTCCGGGCTCACAACTTACAAAAAGCTCCGGATAGCATGATCACTGACAGTAAATCTTCAGCATAAAAATAGGAACTCCCACAAAATGTTTCTTTATCTGTGAAAACTTGCCCTTGCAGTTCTGTGGAAAACAGCCAAAAAAGGAGAACAGAACTAAAATATTTGGCTTGTAGTTTCACATATCCAAAGCTTTACTACTGAAAACATAACATCAAAGGCTATAGAACAGAGGGAAGGAAGCTGTCAGTGAGGTTTGAACTCAGTATTTAGGGAGACTCCTATTCTTTTCTGACTTGTTTTTCACTAGTAGTCACAAGCGGTCTTCCCATGCCATTCAAAGTATCTAACTTCTACCCAAGAACAATTGACTCACCTGTAGAAAGGCTCCCATTATTTTCCAAAAACGAGAATGAACTATCATAGAAAAATAGTGCAGATGAGGATTTGACATTTTCCCCCAGTCTGATTCCATAATGTGCCCTGGATGCTAGGTACTATGAGGAATGTGAAGAGAAAGGAGACCCAGTCACTACCTTCCATGAGCATACCACCTAGTCAGGGAGATCAATGCCCACTTAACCGAGTTATTATCCCAGAAGTATTAAGTGCTCTGCAATATCTGGAAAAATGGTAAGGAGCAAACAATGCTGGAAAGACCTGGAAAAGGTTTAGGTAAGAAGTAGAATTCTATGAGGCTCTGGAAAGCACCAGCAGGATTCTGAAACTCAAAGATAGAGGATTCAGCATCTCAACGGTGGAAACGCAGGTACAAGTTACAATAGTGGGATACCGTGGAGTGCTTTCAAGAAAGGGAATGTGCTTTCAAGAAATGTCAATGATGCTAGATCCTGGGGTACACTGAAGGTATGGGCACAAAGCCTGGGAAGACAAGAAGAGTCCAATTATGGGGAGATTTGAACTCCAGATGAGAAGTTATTTCAATCCCTAAGAAAAGATCTTTAAATTCCAGATCACAACCCTATAGTTTAAGCACAGGAAGATTCTGAATAATCCAAATGAATGTCTTCAGGATTTATCAAATTTATTCTATCTAGTCTGGGTAATCTACTTCTGTAGAGATACCACCTCGGAACCCAAGGAGGGGTTGCTATGAGTCGGGACCAACTTGACTGCAGTTAAGTTTGGTTTTTTGGGGGTTTTTTTTAAGAGATTAATAATACTGTTAAGTTCAGTTCTTTACCTTTGTTATGTTCTCAGCACCCAGAAGAGAGTGGTATATTTGAATTATTTTACAAATATCTAGTGAATGGATGAATAGATTCTAAGAAGCACTGAATAGGTAAATAATCCTCCCATGGTTGTTACTAAATATATATATACATATATATATATATATATATATACACACACACACACACACACACACACACACACATATACATACACACACACACATACATATATATTTAATTCAGATTTCATTTTTGCAATTTCAGCTAATTTTTAATTGTGTACAACACTTTATGGATTAGTGTCATCTATCTATATTGTAAACTACTGAGAGTCTTCCTTAGTTTTTGCTGCTATAAGGCAGGTAACAGCTAGCTTACAAAACAAAAAGAAAAGTTACTCATATTAAATAACATTAAACAATTCTGTTTTATACACAGGCCTGGAAAGGGCCTGAAGTAGAACCATGAAAAGGTTGTTTCTGTTGTTCTGCTGTTCCATATCACCTTATCTCAAGGACTAGTACAGAACATCTCAGTTTCTGCTCACAAAAAAAAAAAAAATTCTGAGCTCTATAGAGTCAAAGCACAATCTACCACAGCCTGTTTTCAGACAGCGTGCACGTTTTTTTTTATTCATGTGTACTCAATTGCCTTTCTGCAGTCCACTGAACTGCATACTTGCTGGTCAGTTACCTTGGCAACTCCACAGTGAAGCCTGCTTCGCTTTATGTATAGTATGTCATTCAATTTGGAAAAAACATGATACAGATGTATGACACATTCACCATCCAGAAATGGAAAATGACTAAGCCACTATGCTTTGTTTGTGAAAATAATACTTCCTTTCTGTAACATCACTTTAAATTATGGGCACCCACACAACAGTTTTGAGAGGTGTCCTTTACCTCTGCCATTTGTTACTTGCAAAACAGCTCCTCACCAGCGGCTATTTGGGCAGTATTTATACTTCTGCTTCCTTTCAAAAACAACAAATGACACAGAGAATTAGAAGTTATAGCCTCTTGTTCTAAACATGAGCTATACAAATAATGCTGATAGGTTCTGTACTGACACCCACAAAAGCTGTTAATAACACATGTTGCATGCATATATGCCTAGGCAGGACTCACGAACTGTAAGCATGGAACATACTGTTTTCCTTACAGCAAGTCTTGAAAATCAAATTTAAACACTCTAAGAATCCACCATACTAGATCTAATAGTCTCTGAAATATACATGTGTATAGTGCCATGCTATCAAGCCAAGGTCACAGGGTCTGGCCTCTCTGTGTATCACACGGCTCTGCAATCTTTTACGGCTACAAATCCATTACCTCTGCAAACACATGCCAGTGGATACAAACAAAACAGGAAACCAGTGTGTGGCTAAATCCATGGAAATCCATCACCATTAATGGGAAAAACAATTAAACCAAAAGCCCAATCCACAGGGGATCAAAAACACCATCTTTGAATAGCCAGAGTAGCTAGATTTGAAAAGACTGAAAATTCCTGAAGACAATCATAAAAACATTTTTCATGAAAAATTACATATTGTATCCATACAGGGAAGACCCCAAGGGATATGTGCAGAAGCGGGTAGGATAATTATTTCACATTCCTAAATGTAGGTCCAATATCTCTCGTCACCATGCTACCAAAACCTTGTTCAAGAAACTGTTCTCTAGTCATAGGATGTAGAAAATGCAGACCATTTCAACATCTGGATATTATGTGACAGCAGAGAGCCAAGAACCAAGTTAACAGAACATGACAGTAGTAGTGACAAAGTAGGACCTCGTGCTAGCTAAATAGCATCCTGTTTTCTTTTATTAATAGTTCATTTGAAATTTTCTCTCTCTAAGAGCAACACCATGATGAAAATACAAGGGTGTGAGTTTGTGTGTTTATTTACAATTATCTAAACACAAAAGCGAATTGGGAATGTATTTAACAAACATCAAGTTTTGAAAGGATTATGATAGCACACTGCTGCTGAATCTAATAACTCACCCTTATTACAATAATTATTCTTAATGGCATGTGCCATGTGCACAGGCACAAACACCGTCCCTTCTCTACCAAAAAAAGTCCAGAGAACACTTACAACTCATTTTCTGCACCAAGAAAAAGTACATGACTGTAAAGATAACACAGTTAAGTATGAGACCCTCCAAGTTAGCTAGATTTTAGACTGGTCTGAAATCTGAGAAGGCACCAAGTGTGGCCAATATTCACTTTCAGGTAACCTTTGTTAGGTACCTATTATGTGTAGGTCTTTTTAAGATACTTTGTCAACAAGTTAATAATTTTAAAAGGCTCATTTATATCATCATTTCCTAATTTTTAAGACTTAAAAGAATGTAAAAAAAAAAAAAAAAAAATCTCAGTTTCCCAGGAGCACAAACAGAACAAAGCGCTCCAGAGAGCTAAGTTTTCTAAGCGCTCAGCGTTCAATTCTTTTTTATGATGGTTTTGGGTCATCATTTTGAACATCGATTTTTGCACTCTGTTCTATTATACAGAGACGCCCTATGGACTGTTTGGGTGCCTTGTCATTTACCAATCATGATAGCTGGTTGCAGTCTGCTATGCTTTTTAAGGTTGTGTGTTTTACAGATTTTCTGGTTTTTTTCTCTGTAGACAAGTTGTCAGCTGTCATTTCTCATTGCTATCAGTAGTTTTCCTGTAACAGCGTCACTATCCCTTCTAATTTGCCGCTATTAATCTGCTGCAGGTTTGGAAACCAGATTACCAAACGAAGTGGAACTGCACGTAAAGAAGAACAAATATCTGCAGTCTTAA